GTAAAGTTAATCGGTAATATTGAAATCTCGCTAAAGTGCTAAATATAGGAATGAAATTGAGCACATAATTATATAACCACAAAAATTGAGATTATACAATCAATTGTAGGATGGTTTGGTTTCAATAGGCAATCTGTTTATTATCAAGGGCAGATCAATATGGTCATTTTCCTTCTGTAGAATTGCCATAAGTGTTTTGTTTAATTTGGTTTTGAAGGTATGTTTCCTTTGCGCACGGAAACTTGGAGAAATACTATTCCAGATAAAAGAACCAAATCGAGAAAATGAGCGTTTTTGGATTTCTAATCGTGAAGAATTGATGTAAAAATTCTTGTTCGCAGCTGCTCTCGTATTATATCTATGAATCTGGTATGTTTTGGTAAATAATTCTTGAAGAGCAATTGGTGCAACTTCATTAGAAGTATCATGTAACAAGTTAGCGGATTCTCTAATGTAAAGCATGTTGATAGGGAGGGTGTTTGAAGAGATAAATAGAGGGATAGAGTGTTCACGATTGTCTTTAAAATAGATAAGTCTCAGCACACGTTTCTGGAGTTTGAGAAGTTTGTCCGTATATTTTTTGGCTGCATATCCCCATGCAACAACTCCATATGATAGATATGGCTGAATTAATAACTTATATATGTTCATTAAGGTATGGAATGGGACATAATGTCGGAGTTTTGCAATGATTCCAACAGTTTTGCTAATCTTTAGTGCAATGTAATTAATGTGTTGTTTCCAAGACAAATTACAATCAATGAGAATGCCAAAATATTTTATATAATCCTTACTTTCGAGAGGTATGTATTTTTTCGAATTATTGTGAAAAGTTTAATAGTAGGCTGATAGGTCATTGGTTTTTGCGATGGTCGAAAGATTACAAAATTTGATTTTTTTTATATTTAATGTTAGTTTATTAGCATTTAGCCACTTACAAACTTCCCTCAACTCGAAATTTACCACTGATTCTAAAGTTTTTAAACTTTTGTTGGCATATAATAGGTTGGTATCGTCCGCAAAGAGAAAGAAATTAAATACCTTAGATGAATTACAAATATCATTTATGTAAATCAGAAAAAGAAGAGGACCAAGAACAGAACCCTGAGGTACTCCACATAGGGTCTCCTCTTTATCAGATATACAATTTCCTACAAGAGTGGTTTGCGAGCGGTTTTTTAGGTAAGAGGAAAACCAATCATTGACAACACCTCTTATACCATAGTACTTTAATTTGCATAACAGAATGTCGTGGTCGACAGTATCAAACGCTTTTTTTAAGTCGATAAATATTCCACAAGAGAAAAGTTTATTATTCATGTTACTTTGGATTTTATTGATAATATCAAGAAGAGCATGTTGTGTAGAATGTTGTTCGCGAAAACCATATTGAGAATCACTAAAAAAATTTCTTAACTTAAGAAAGTTTTTCAATCGCGAGTTCATTAGGATTTCGAAAATTTTATTAAAAATAGATAAAAGTGATATAGGGCGGTAATTGTTTGGATCGGTATCTACACCATCTTTGTAAATTGGAATAATTTTTGCAATTTTTAATTTTTTGGGGTAGATTCCTCGCTCAATAGAAGTATTAATGATGTCAGCTAGAGGTTTGCTTAGAATATTTTTTGTGCATTTTAAGATACATGTAGGGCAAGAATATAAGCCGTACGACTTATTAATTGGTAATAAGGTAATTTCAAGTTCTATCTCGGATGGAGTTACTGGAAAGAATGCAAATGAGCCATGCTGAGAGGCTATATTTTCGTAATCGGTGTTCTGTTTTGGGAGATATTCAGAGAAATGTTTTTCTGAATGAGGCATCTTAGTTGCTAAACGATGACCACAAGAAGCAAAATGATTATTCAAAATCTTAGATATTTTTTGGGGATCGTGAATTAATTGGCTGTCAGTGGCACATTGCGCCATCGCATTAATTTCCTTTTTACGTTTTTTGCCACCTCCAATTAAATCCCTTATTCCATCCCAGGTCTTTTTCATATTGTTTAGATTTGAACTAAAGTATGTATGGTAATACAGTCTCTTGCTTGCTCGTGTTAAGGTTACAATTGAGTTCCTATAAATTTTATATTTTAAAGGGTTTGAGTAAAATAATGCATTTTTAATTTTAATTGATACCCTTAAGCCTTTGGATACCCAAGGTTTCGTGAAAGACTTAGCCATTCGTTTGGAAATCATTTTGAGAGGTGCATGTTTGTTTACAAATTTGTTAACCTGGTTATAAAAGGTCGAAAACAGTTTATCAGGATCATGTCCATGGTTAGCTATTATGGAATTCCAATCTATTTGTGACAGATCTTGAAGGAATAAAGTCTCCGAATAACGAGAGTAGTCGCTAATTTTAAATTTTGTTACGTTGTTCTTAGCTGAAATTAAATCTATAATACAGAATTGAGAAAAATGGTCACTTAGTCCGATACGACATTACCGCTTGTTAATATTTTATCCGGAATATTAATGAAAATGTTATCAATTAGCGTGGCAGAGTCCCTGTGGACACGGGTTGGTTTATCAATGCTAGGGGTCATTGAACAACTTTGTAAAGTCAATAAAAAATTATGCACATAATTACAGCTATCGATTTTAAGCAAATCTATGTTAAAATCGCCCATGACAACAACAGTTTTGCCCAGAGAAGTGAAATATTCGAGTTTTTCTTCAAAATAATTTAGGAAACATTCTGGTGAACTATGTTGCCTATATAGTACACCACAAATAATATTCTTCCTATTTGGCATAAGAATTTCAATCCATAGAGCTTGAAAGTCCTTGTTCGCGGTTTTTTCAATAATAAAATATCTAAGTTCATTGTTGATATACATTCCGACTCCTCCTGCAGCAAGAGGCGTTGGAACAAATTCAAACGAGTACTCAGGAATATTGTAATTGAAGTTATCAATAGTAGCATCTGTTATGCGAGTTTCAGTTATACCTATAATACTAAAAGAAAAACCAAGTTCATCCAATATATGGGTTTGCAGATGATCAAGGTTTTTCCTCAAGCTACATACATTATTATGAAAGAATGTGAATCGGTTATTATATAAACTATTTGGAGCTTTGTCAATTTTTTGGAAGCTATTGGGTGAATAATACCTACTATGAATATGGTTACTGATAATATTGTGATCGGGGTTTATATCCGAATTAGGATTTGTATTCAGATTAAATAGGTCCAGATCATATATACTAGTAAGCTTATCTAAATAGTTTTTAGCGATATGATTTGGAGAAAGACTGTTATTAAATTGTCCGTGACTAGCAACAATATTATAGGGCAGTTCGCGAAACATAGCTTTGTTTACTTTTTTGTCATGTTTGCTCCCCATTGTTATCACACAATATATTTTTAGTGTATAATTCTACTTATCTTAATGTACAGATCATTTTGCATCTTCAACCGTTGTCAGCGTAGCCAGGTCCTCAAGTGTCTTCATTCTTACTACACTGGAGTCATCAGATTTTCGAAGACAAATGTAGTTGTTCTTAGCCCAGCAGTACTTGAATCCGTAACGATTTTGCACTTTTTTAGCCTCAAAGAGAAGTGTCTGAAGGCGAGGTGTTAGATGTTCGTAGATGTTCATTCGGCCATGCTGTTCCTGTGCTTGGAATCCGAGTTGTTCGGGCTTTAGTTCGTATATTTTACGTCTTGCCGCCATGACTTTGTCTTTACCAAGCCTTCGGACGAATTTGCAGATTATTGGGTCTGGACTAGCAGATGAATTTCGATTCCGCTTCGGGACACGATGGGCAGTGTCTATATCTTGTAGAGAGACATCATTTACACCCAGTGCTGAGAAAAGCTTTACACAAAGCGCTGCAGTCACATCAGACGATTCTTTGTCGTTAACTGGCGGCAGTCCAACTATCTTAATATTATACTGATAGCTGTACGTCTCGATAGCTTCAATGGCTTCATATATTTCGTCGCAGCTTCTACTAACTTTATCAAGTCTTGAAGCGATTTTC